AGCGTTCAAATTTGGTAGAGAACAGGCGGCATGATGAGAACACTTATGGTGGGTGGCGGGGCCGGACTCCGCCTACAGTGGGCGGGGTTATTCTTTGAAAACTCATAACTCCTGACCCAGTGGGCCTAGAACGTTAAAATTTGGTAGGAGTACAGGCGGCAGGATGGGAACACTTATGGTGAAAGGCAGGACCGGACTCTGCCTACAAGGGGTGGGGTTTGAGCGCAAAATCATAACTCGTCCAGAGGGCGGGGCTTGCAGAGAAATGCCAAAAAGGACCTAGAGTGACCAAACTCGGTAGGAATACAAGAGGAACGATATGAACACTAATGATAGGTTGCAAGACTTAATTCCGCCGGGCTAGGCGTGAATTAATACTGTTAGTTCGGACCCGGACCGTTGAAAGTTGGAGGCACAGGGAGTTGGCTGGGAACATTGATGGTAGCCAACATAGTAGACTCAGCCGCGATGAAGTCTTTGAATACTTTTTTCCTTTGAATAGGCGCCTTTGTGATATTATGCCATGTTCCATTCGGGCTTACAAAAAAATCGCTCTTAATTCGAAGCTAATGCTGAGGGTAACGCCCGCCGTAGCCGGGCAAACCCTTAAGAAGGAGGGAAGCCCGGCGTTAGCCGGGCGGCCCGACTGGTGTTGAAGAAACCGAGATTCTTGCACAAGATCACCGTTGTCGGGCGCAGTGCACCTTTGGTATACCACTTGATTACTCTTTGCTATTGAGAAAAAAAAATAAATCACAGCATTGCTTCGAAACACAAGATTGCTATGCATTATACATGTACTTCTCCGGACTTGAATATTCTTTCTTATAGCTATGGAGCGGTGGTGGAGATCAGGGCGAAAAAGATGTGGTCGATGCGATGGAGGTGAGTGGTAGTTCATTGAATATGGTCGTTGTGGTGATTCGAAGTGAAGTTTATACTTGTATTTGAATTGAATAATATTTGTATTTGATGTATTTTTGAATGCAAACCTCAGAAAATTTTGCTCAACTCTTTCAAAACTGTTCCCATTGAGTACCTGCACCTCCCGCTCGCTTCAAATGACATCCGGTTTTTCAGGAAAAAAAAACCCTGTGCTATCCTTTCCAAAACTGATTGGTACCGATTCAGTAAATAGTTTCCACTTAACTTGCTCAGTGGTAGGCACTCCTTTCGCGTAGTGTTCGCGGAATATCGTAGAAACCGAATATCCGGCCATAACAATATCACCTTTTTTGGGCACAATGCACCTTTAGTAAATAATTGCAAAGCACTCTGACCCATCGACAGCTCTTACCCCTCTAATCGAGTGGAACTAAAATCATTAAAGTGTATTACTATCATGCTATAAATTGCAATATATGACCACTGGTGAGGGCTGAAGATAGCATTGAGAAAAAGCCGCGTGCTTCTTTGGGGTTACAGAGTAGTAATTCTGGAGAAAATACGACTCTAAACATTAAATTTTCTCCAATGAAGTTTATTTCACTAGCACAGGAGGGTGGCTATAATCTTTTAAACTCTAAGTACGAAAAATCATTGCAACTCTCGTGTGTGAGGAGCAAATTTCTCGGCCTCTGTTGGAAGAGATGCACCCCGATAGGATGAGCCTCCCTGCTCCTTTTATGAAGTGAAGAAACCAGTTCAAGTTTTCGTTCCTCGTTGAGTGATTGCGATAGAATCCCGCCCCTGTCTTTTTGAGGATGAGCGAAGACTGCAGGTGATCAACGAGAGGCATTAAATTGCNTCACAAGAGTTAAGCAGGCATTTTGTGGGAAAGCATAGTCAGCACAACAATGCAACCCTTCACGTCATGCAAAGATCTGAACCATGTGGAGAGATAGCGCAGCCCTACAAACTACATCATCTCTCCACATCAACCCTTCCAGTCGGCGTGCGTATATCCTCGACGGTATCCTACATCACACAAAGGGATTGCTATAGAAACCTCATTTCGTTTCGCAAGTTAGGAATGTAAACTTGGGATCAGCACTCGGAATTACACTTCATTTTGGATTGCCACTGCCAACTAGTGTTCTTATAAGATTAATGTAGGGGCTGCTCGAATCCTACAATCAATCAATGTGAGCCTGATATTAATTCATGAAGCTTCCTCCGTAAAGTAAACACAATCATTTGTGCAGAGAATGCCGTCTTGTCATATTCACGTCCTACCACGAAAAGCAAAGAAGTCCAGACTTTAATCGTTCAATAATGACTAATATGGGTACCTATTGCCGGAGATGCTTCGAGACTTTAAGGAGCAGCACGTTAAGCCTCTGCAGATTTTGGCAATCGAGAAATAGTATACACAACAAGTAAATAAGAAACCAAGGCATTGTCAGACAACCATTCTATTTAGATTCACTCACAACTGCGTCGCACGCCACGGAGCCTTAAACTTGGGTTGGCAGAAAGATGTAAACCAAATAGAGATATAAGAATACTGTTTCTAAAGGCCTGAGCTACACTACACACATCAAGTGCGATTGTCTGTGAGGTCGTAGTGTTCAAACGTATCTACCCACAGTACTTTACAACACTTGATCGGGCTATCATTAATGGAAAAAATAGCCGTGTCTCTAATATTCGAATTATACATGATTCAACATTTTACTGTTTTCATTTTATTCCAGATACCATTGAGTCGACTGGGGACACCCAATGATTGTGCAGGAGCTGTTGCATTCCTCGTTTCTGATGATGCTCAATACATCACCGGAGAGACGATACTGATGGCTGGAGGAGTGCATGCAAGACTGTAGAGCACCCGCTAATAGAACTGATGGAACAGATACAATGAATGGACAATGTAATAATGAAAGGAAATTTTAAGATAAATACGTACTCCAGTCTCAAATGTTTGCGTTATAACGAAGGGCAGGTCCTCATCGTTCACACACCATCAGATTTCAGAGGACATCGAAATGAGGGTTTCAGTGGCTAAGCACTGCCTTTTCAGCTATAACTTCAAATATAAGGACTCTGTCGGATGGACCCACATGGGGTCGCAAGAGGCGTGCCTTGTAGGTCGAGAAGGATCATGAGAGGGGCGCAAAGAACAGCCGCGACCTACTCAAGAGAGGGACCTAAGGAAAGTTTGCGCGGGTCTTTTGGGTATAAATAGTTTTTTTTATTTAAAAAAAAAANAAAAAAAAATAGTTGAGGTATTTGTTTAGAGTATTCCGATCCTGGCTACTATAGAGCCCCACGCCTCCTGGCCGCCGCCGACGCTCGCCCTCCCCAGGACACGCCTCGTCCTCGACGTCGGCTCCTACGTCATAAAGCTTCGTAAATATCGCGTTTTGTTCAGTGCAAGGCCTAGAACTATTGGACGGCCAATATAAACCACAACTCATCTTCTATAGCATTTTATGTCGTAGAGAAGTTTCAAAAGCCATAAATTCCAGAATTCGAAATTCGATCTAGAGATAAAGTAAGTTCCTGTGCAAGTCGATTGTGAGTTGTAATTTTGAGGCTGGCTCACCGAAAGAGAATGGCTGCTTTCATGGTCCGCCGGCGTGCAGACACGCCGGCGGACCATGAAAGCAGCCAATGGAGTAAGCAGGTGGTCTCCCTGATTTGATTTATCATTCCAAAAAATCACACGAAGGAAGCAACTCAGTAAGTCAATCGTCGAATCATTGTAATAATTAGTTTTTGAGCTGTTCGCAATTATCAAGTGCCCGGAAGGGTCCCATAGCATATGTTGTCTCCGTTGCCTTGATGGTCCCCTCTCCTTGGCTGGTCAAAACATGCGTTCCTCGAGGCAGAGACCTACTTCTCTATTTATTTTCTACGATTGATGTCAAAACTACAGTCGTGAAGATATAGACAGTTAAGGTTAAATTTTTTATGACTTATCGTTTCCTCCTCAATTGAGCACCACTTCAATGAATGGGCTTTTCAGTGTTCCGCGACGAAATGGACGTTTCGCGTAATAAATTTCGAAATCCTGCTGAAGGCTATCATAAATATGATTTTCTGACAGTATGCACTGAGCGAATTCGGGATTTTGGTTTTCTCATTCCTACTGACTTGAAAAAAAAGTTCGAAGCAGAACCATTTGACTATAGCAGTCGGGCTGTCTCATGAATAGACCAGAGATCGTACTCGCGACATCGAAAGCATCACTAACCCTAGCTTCCATCAAGTTAAGCGATGTAGAAAGAATTCTGATTAGTTGACTTCTTATTACTTCACGAAATTCAACCATTCTAGCCTCATTATAATGAACCTGCGTGTTGCACTATTCGTCATTGGAGCCTCAGTTCACGATAACTTTGGACAATCCAGATTATGGAAGATAAGATGGAAAATAGTGCGAATAAGGCGAAGAAACTGCGTGAATAGGCCTTTCCAAAATGAAAAAGGCTACGAAAAATAGTTAAAAAAGGTGCTGGACGAGAATGAGTTCAGAAAAGTGGGGCAGAATGGAGCGTTTGGAAGAGCCATACAATATGTGTCATTGCACACGTGTGAGTCCTGGTGCCAATCGCTGATTACAAAAATTCATTCACTCGTAAGCATGAGTTGACAAAAACTCACAAAAACCGCCCTATTTAGCCTTCTTAGGGCAGAAAATTAATAAGGGATCGCAGCAGCAGAAAGAATAACAGAGAACAAAGGAACAGCAGAAAACGGCCACCAGCTGACTGTGTATGGGTCATAGAGCGAATATTGCTATCTGTATCACCTCGACACTCGTCTAACGTGACGTCGATCGAGGGGCGGGAATTCCGGGCGATCCGTTAGCGGGGCTCCCACTATGCCCTAGCTGTTGAGTTTTGAGACTCGCCAGCTGTTCCTGTTAGCTTTGGGGGCCACTGGATATTCCTAGGGGAGAACATTCAACACTCAGAAACCATTTTTATCGTGATCTGTGCCTTCTAAAATGGCTCACCAACCAGTTAGATTTCCAGCCGAGCTTGCTTGTTACTGCACTTTCTCCTTCAGGTACATCCCTGTTATACTAAGCGTTAAGCAAAGAAAAGGATATGTTCGCTGATATACGGTCCTTCTCGCAACTTTTGAATAATTACTTCAGTCCCTGACGGTTCCTCGTTCCCGCTGCCTTGGAATTTTGAAAAATTTTGAATTGTAGCCCTGAGCGTCAAAAAGCGTTCTGATTATTCTCAAACGTTCCTGGTCAGTATTTTACATGCCAATTCCCTTCTATTCGTTTCTAAAGTATAGTGCTTGATAGACATCCATACAAATCGCTGTATGGACATTCTAAAATTTTTCTCATTTCTTATTGGTCCTCCAGTTGAGCTATAGGAGGGTGTGGTACTTTTCCCCCCGACGGCCTGAAGCGCTCGCCGCACCCATTCGCGCGCAGTCGCGAGCTATGAAATGGAAACTTTGAACCTTCATTGGAAGGACACGGTAACCGCCGCCAAACCACTGCTGCTTGCTGTGGGAATTCAGGAAGAAGTTTCGCCTACTTCTATAGCACTCTAATACGTACGGATGATTTTCATCAGTATTTTTTGAAGATGGCTTCGTGATGTTTGTTCAGCAAAAATGCTTCCTCAATGTCCCAGACAGGACAAATAAAGTCAGGCAACTTTCCGAACCTTCAAAAATCTCAGGATATCATAGACTGACTATAGATAGCTAGACAGATAGTTAGTTAAAAAGACTTACATAAAAAAAAGAAAAATTTTCAGTAGTGCGCCAAAGCATCACGAGATAATTACGACATTACCATAAAACATTCATCGTCGTTGATCAACTCCCCTTCTGCGATACGCTCCCGCATTCGACTTCCATTCGTGGGCATCGTAACCCGTCTAATGTGCATGTGCCCTATATACGGGATGTCTCAAATTATGGGAGCCGAAATTCAGAAAGGAATCCATCAAATTCACATCACCCGCTATAAACTAGTTGCATAAGAAGGCTTCCTCGCAATATGCATGGTTACTGAAGTGAACCCCCCAACATCTTTTGGATGACCGAGCTCATTCAATGCCACTTGCAATCATTGGCATGCGATAGGGGAAAGTCCATTGAGAAATTTTTGTTATTCCTATAAAAGCTCTGCGGAAGGGTATAGTACGATACAGAGAAAAAGATTCAATCAGATACAGACTAGAAAGGGGTGAAAAGGCCAGTGTTGAAAAGAAATATTAAAAAAAAATTTTAAAGCAATCCGTTTATGAGTCGATCGTTATCCCTGGTGACCCATCAAAGAGACGCGAAGGAGCAGGACTTATTGAAGTTGTCGGTGGGACGGATTGTCAAGCAAAAGCTTCATTGCCGTTCCTATCGCATGCAGAAATTTCGCTTCTATTCCGATCTCAACAGAGAGTGTAGGGCCAAAGAATGCAAAAGGTCGCTGACTCACTTGAATGGAGGCACGCAACCTTTCATCGTTCTCTCATGCTAAAAAATCTTTACGTTAAACCATTTTTTGACAAGTGAGACGATCACGTTTAGGCTACATACAACAAACGTGCAATCTCTCACAAAAAAAACTGCTGTAAGAGCAGCAAAATGATGTTGTTTGAGGGAGTCACTGGCAAAAGTTAGACGCTCGTGGTTTCATCGGTACAGGCGTGAAAATTGCCAAAGATGTGTACCCAAGGGGCATACTAATGGACGTAATGAAGCACTGGTCCGACTCTGCTCCCTGAAACAGCTCGTATTTCTTTCATGAAAACGGCACTCCAGCTCACAGAGTCAAGTCTGCACGGGAGTGGTGCCGACGCTAGCTGACTTCATTAGCAAAAAGAGCGGCCGTCCTACTTCCTCCATCTTAAAACACTTGAACTCAAACTCACTCCGTATGGTCACTGAGAAGAAGAGGATCTGTAGAGCTTGTGGTCCCAGTTTGGAGTTCAAGAGAGCAAGACTAAAGGACGGCTGAGAAGAACTGGAAGAGGATACCTAGGGTACGAGAACAAACTTTGGACCTCTAACCGGGCTCTTGGGGGATATTTTGAAATGTGATTGTAGCATTTTGTAGCACATAAGGTTGTGCATCTAGTCAATTGTCATTCACAGCTGGATAGCTCCAAATACGATGCCATGGTGTGGCGCCCACAATTTCGCCCTGTATACGATAATGATCAAACGATGTACAACTTAGCGCTCATATCCTTCAAAACAAGGGAGGACTGATCAGCGGACCCCACGCGGGTCGCAGATTCAGTTGGTATATCGATTCGTGATTCGATCCCTAGGCCATGACGGTGCGCATTTACCACTGCATAAATACATCACGTTCGCCCATATATAATACATATACAGTAGCGCTCAAAAGTCTTCGGCCGAAACAAGACGGATTCAATCGTCCCGTGAATGTGTTACACAGTAACCCAAACACACACTCTTGCGCCTCCAAACAGTCGTCACATGTACGACGCAACAGAAAGGCACCCCTGGTGAAAACCATGGTGGTGGGTGGTGGGGCACAAGGGGGTTACTGTATCACACCCTTACGGGCCGTTAACACGTTGACGACAATGTCGCGCAATGGTGCGCGACAGCCAGTCTGTCTCATGGGACGATGTCGCGCAATGCTGCGCGACAGTGCATTCTTCGTTTAAAGTCTGTGTGCTCGTTCCGCTTTTTNATCGGCCACCTCTTAAATTGATTCCAAGATGATTAATACAAATACAAGACAGGATCAACCGCAGGAGCCATCGTCGCCGTCTAAACTACCTGCAGCATCATCGTCGCTGTCAAGCAGCTAGTGGTCAAAAATTTCGTTGAGCCATCCATTTCAATATCCGGGACGCTCACGATGGCAAAAATA